CCGGGCCCCGGCGCGTCTCCCGGGAGCTGTCACAGGCAGGGCGACTTCGGGGGCCCAGCAGGGTCAGCCGGCGGGCCTTCCCCCCCATAGCTCGGGGTCCTCCGACGGTGGGTGGCGGGGCTCGTCCGCTCCCTGCGGAGGGGAGGGGTAAGCAGCCCCGCCGCCCGTCCCGGCCAGCCAGGTGAGCCATCCTCTGCGGAGGCTCTGCTGCCCTACGCGTTTAAAGACGTAAATCGTGGCCTGTTCCTGCCAGCGTCGCCTCCGCGAACCTGAGGTGGTCACGATTGGTGGTTTTCTGAGTCAGCTCTGGAGTTCCGGGTTGTACCGAAAGACCCCCCCCCCCCCCGCATGCCATATCCAGAGACACGGAGGCCTTTATTGTGGTCGTTTTTATTAATGATGAGTATTATTTTGCCAGTTCTGGGCTTTGAACTTAGGGACTGGATGCTGTCCCCGAGCTTTCATTGTTCAAGGCGAGCACTCTACCACTTGAGCTACATATCCACTTCCCTCTTAATTTTTTTGGTTAATTGGAGGTTAAGTGTCTCATGGGCAGCTCCGGCTGGTTTCAAACTGCTATCCTAGGATTCTAGGATTACAGGCCAGAGCCACAAGTGCACAGCTATCATTACTGATTTTTTAAGAAGTTGTTTATGCTTTCAGTCTAGGGGTAGTGACTTTGGTTTCCAAATACAGGGTTTTTTGTTTGTTTGTTGTTGTTGTTTTACTTGCACTGCCTTAAGGGGTGCTTAGTTTGTAGAGAATGAGAATTTGGTAAATAGATGTGTTTTCATTCTAGTCATAATTTTTACGCTTGGAAATTCCTTTCTAAAGCAGCTTTTGTTTCGCCGGATGATAATATGCCTAGCATCTTTTCTTTTTAAAAGCTTTTTACCATGACATTAAGAAATACATCTTCAGAGCTTGCACAGACTTGAGCCTAATCTGATTTTGTAGATGGGGACCTATCACTGCATAGGCTTAGGAAAGTTATGTAAGGTCACATACTGAGTTTAGCAATTCTTCCCAATATTTTGTTTAGCACTTTGACTACCTTTCAGTTTTTCTGTGTCTTTGTTGAAAATAGTTCAGGTTATGAGCGTATAATTTTATTTTATTATGCCAATTGTGGGGCCCGAACTCGGCCTGGGCGCTGTCCCCCAGCTCTTCAGCTGTAGACCAGCGCTCTACCACTTGAACCTCAGCCCCACTTCTGGCTTTTTCAGCTTATGTGGTGCTGAGGAATCCAACGTAGGGCCTCATGCATGCAAGGCAAGCACTCTACCACTGAGCCACCTTCCCAGCCCTATGAGCGTATAAAAGAGATTTTCTTGGATTTGGTCAGGATGAATCTTCTTAGCTTTTCCTCTTTTTTGTTTATATTTTAGATGATGCATTAACTGTGCATATTATCTGTACATATGGTATACTTATTGGTGTGTTTCAGTATGTGTATACATTGGTTGTATAATGATCAAACCAAGGTAATTAGTATTTCCATCATCTCAAATATTTTCATTTCTTTGTGGTAAAACATTATTTTCTCTTCTAGCTGTTGTAAAATAAACAACCATTATTGTTAACCATACACCCAAAACTTGCCCTCCTGTCTAATTTTAACTTTGTACATTATTGACCAACCTCTCCTTGGCAGTAAGAATCTTCTGAGTGACAGTATCTAGAAAGATACTTCAGTGTGGGAGTCCTTGTGATCATGTAGCAATTTCTGTTACTAACCATTGGTAACTGATAATTTCTCTCTCTCTTTCTCTCTCTCTCCTATCTTTCTTTCTTTTTTTGTTGTTGTTGTCATGGGACTTGAACTCTGGGCCTGGGCTCTGTCCCTCAGCTCTTCAGGTCAAGTCTAGTGCTCTACCACTTGAGCCACAGTGCTACTTCTGGTTTTCTTGTGGTTTATTGGAGGTAAGAGTCTCACAGACTTTCCTGCCTCGGCTGGCTTTGAACTGCAATCCTCAGATCTCAGCCTCCTGAGTAGCTAGGATTGCAGGCATGAGCCACTGGCCCCCAGCTTCTTGATTCTTTTTTTGTGTTGATCGTTGGGCTTGAAATCAGGACCTACACACTGTCCCTGAGTTTTCATACTCAAGGCTAGCCTACTCTACCACTTGAGCCATAGCTCTACTTCTTTTCGGTTGTTAATTGGAGATAGAATCTCACAGACTTTCCTTCCTGAGTTGGCTTTGAACAGTGATCCTCACATCTCAGTGTCTGAGTAGCTAGCATTACAGTCACCAGCATCTGGATAGTTTTATTTGTGTTATTATATTGTGGCACATTTTTGTAGAGTGAAGAAAATAGTTTACTCAAATTTTTGGATTGATTTTTACTTATGTATTTGCTTGTGTAGCAGCCATCTAGGTAAAGATGTGCAATGATTTTCAGCTCTCAGAAAGCTCCTTTATTTTTGGTCAGTAGGTCCCTACAGAAAGTAACTACAAATTCTGACTTCTACCATCATAAACTAATTTTGACTGGTTTTGAACTGTGTGAAAAGAGGATAAAAACTTAATTGTAAATGAAATATAATAAAAAGCTAATAGTGTTTTTTTTAAAAAAGAGGTTGTATAACAGTATTATGTCTTCCCCCCCCCCCCCCAGTCCTGGGGTTTGAACTCAGGGCTTTGACACTGACCCTGAGCTTCTTTTGCTCAGAGCCACAGTGCCACTTTTGGCTTTTTCTGCTTATGTGGTACTGAGTAATCGAGCTCAGGGCTTCATGCACACTAGGCAAGCACTCTACCATTAAGGTACCTTCCCAGCTCTTTTCTTATGTCTTATTCCTTTCCTTCAGCATTATGTTTGTGAAATTAATCCATTGATATGAAAAACAGCTACTTTAAAAATCTTTCTAATTTTTTTGTTTTTAATACCCTATTTATGAATGCACTACAATTTATCCATCCTTCTATTAATGGGAAACCAGTTCATTTACATTTTTTTGTTGTTGGAGTAAGCCTTCTATGGCTATAACTATAAATGTCTTTGGGAGAGATTAGACTTGTTTCTGTTGCAATATATTCATGAAAGAGATTTTTGGATCAGAAGATAGGTATACACAATCCTAATAGGTTATCAGCTTTTAACATCAGAATAACATTAGAACAAGGGATTAAGTTTTCCTGGTGAAATGTTAGCTAGAATTTTAGCCAAATGAATTAGAAATAAATTGCTATTCTATGTTACTGATTTATTAGACTAAAGATTCTCAGAGTATAGGGTATTTGGGAATCAGCTGTTATTGGTTCATATATCCTTGGGTCCAGAGATTCTGGACTAGAGATTCTGATTTTGTAGAGAAGAATAGGGTCCAGGAATCTGCATTTTCAGCGGCAGATTTAATTTGTATGTAACAGATCATGAGCTCACTTTAAAAGACTCTCCTTTAAATTCTGTTCTTATGATACTGTATGGTTGATAAAAGCTTTCAGTGAATAGTATTTTATGTGGTAATAATGGAAGTGTGTAGATGAAGCTTGAAAGTGTGATTTTAATGCAGTCTTCTCAGGCTTGATTAGAACTTAATTTGTTCTATATATTGAGCAAATTAGGTCTGAGGAATTGGAAAAAGGAAAGCAGGCATCTTGGCAAATTGTGATAGATTTGACTAGGCTCTTACTTAATGGAAGCTTTGAGACTAAGAGATGTTAAAGAACTTCCTGTTGCACATCATTTTTCAGCTCTTCACAATTTTGTGGTCTTGATACCAGAAGCTGAAAAGTTAGTCTTCTTCCTCCTTTCTCCTATCTCAAATGTAAGCTGACAGTATATGTTGTTCTTAAATAATTTGAAACCCAAATTCCTTTCACATACGTAAGACTTTAAACCCTGGCTTCATTTTAGTGGACAGTGTGAACAGTGCTGTTCAGATCTATCCTTCAGGTCCCAGACATTCATGATCTGACCTGCTGAAAGTATTGGCTGGAACAAAGCTCAGGCCAGACTTCTTTCATACTTTTTAGAGTAATTCTGACTCAGCTGTATTCATAAATACATTAGATTCCTCTTCTACTGTATTAAAGAATACTCTTAGATTTTCATTTTCTTCTTACCTTACTTAGTATTTGTTTACTTATCACCTGTCCCCATCTTCTACAAATATACAATTAGGCTATAATTGTTAAGGGATGACATTGTTTTGTTTTACTACTGTATATTTCTGGTGCCTGGATGCTCAATAAATATTTGATGGATATGAATGAATAGTCTACATAAAATAAGGAGAAGAGATAACTTTCTTGGAAGATTTATGGTCCAAGCTTTTATGGTCCAAGTTTAAAGAATCACTTAGAAGGGATGAATTACAGGTTATTTTCCAAAGGTTGGAATCTCCAAGATGAGATTTTAGACTTTAAGATGGAGAGTTGGGTGAAAGAAGTTTGTTGGAAAGTGTTCTGAATTAACACCCATTGAAAGTAAGGGTGGGAGAATTGAATAGAGGTATAGTTGCAGCAAAATTACTTTATTCCTGTGGGCCATCTAAGATAGCCCTCTTCTGTTGCTAACAATGTCAGTGATGCAGGCTGCCAAGCTTGTAAAGAACTTTGGGCAAAGAAACTCCAATGATGGGTCTGGTCTGAGTGCTGTCTGAGTTAGTACTTCCCAGCAGCTCAGGCCATGGATGTCTTAGACCTGAAGAGTGGAACTGAGCAGCACCCTACAATGTCCCTGTTAAAGGGCTGTGAGTCTTGGGTTTATGAAAGGGATATAGGTAACAAATTATTTAAGTATCATCTATCTAGTGTCACATGATTTGTTTGATGTCAGAGGAATGGTAGAGAGAAAAAGTTGGCAAGGAGTTTGGTTTGGTGGAAAAGATGAGATTGGTTTTTAGATCTTCTGAATTGGGTGAAAATACCCTGTAAATCATTAGAGGTAGGCTAGTAAATCTCAATTATAAGATATGGACTAAAGATGACAAGGAAATAACTAAAACTATAAGTAACATTTGATATTTAGCTGGTACATTAGCTCTTAGGCTTTTAAATTTTGTGTGCGTGTGCGTGTGCACGCGCACCAGTCCTGGGACTTGAACTCAGGAAATGGCACTATCCTTTAGCTTTTTTGCACAAGTCTAATACTCTAGCTCTTCAGTCACACCTTCACTTTTGACTTTTTGGTGATTAATTAGAGATAAGAGTCTCACTGATTTTGCTATCCCAGCTGGCTTCAAACCTTGATCATCAGATCTCAGCCTCCTGAGTAGCTAGGATTATAGGCATGAGCTTTTTTACTGGTTAGCTTTTAGTTTCATACTGTAATATAACAACTTAATTGTAGCTATGACGAGATAAGTATTCTATACAAAATATTTTGAAGAGGGTTTTTTAGTAAGATTAACTGCCAAATTATTGTCATATATAAATATGTTTCCAATTTCTCTAGGTTTTGGGAAATTCTGGATTATTTAATAACCATGGACTCCAAGTACAGCAGCAGCAACAAAGGAATCTCTCTCTGCATGAATACCTGAGTATGGAATTGCTGAAAGAAGCTGGGGTCTCTATTCCTAAAGGATTCGTGGCAAAGACATCAGATGAAGCTTATGCAATTGCCAAAAAATTAGGTACTAAATTAAGCAAAACTTTTGCCACCTTAATATGGAAACTTTGAAAATATGATAACTTTGATTTTGGTTTGATGATAATGTTTGGCTTTTATTTAAAAAAATTTATTTGCTTAAAAAAGAAGGTAGAACTTTATGATTGTTGGATTCTACAATTATGTAATTTTTCAGCTACTGTCATGCTAATGACTCTGCATCTCATATTGGCTTTAGTAACTTGAAATCCTAAGTTAAGCTAGAACATAATTATGAGAAAAGAAATTCTGTTCATTACTTTGTAGTGAAGATTTTTTCAGGAAAATAATGAAGAAAAGTCTTAGCTGTTTATGTGTGATTGTTAAAGAGAAGTCCAGTATTTTCCTTTTCTGTTTGGATGTGAAAAATATGGTTGAGCTCTAGACTGTAAGTTCCATGAGAGTAAGGTTTCTCTGATATATTTGTTCAATGATAGATATAAAGTTGTAGGAAAGTGCCTGACATATTTCAATAATATATTTGTTAAATGAATTAAGTAATTACTCATATGAATCACAGTATTATTGATATTTTGTTAACTTAAATTTATAGTAAGCTATTAATTAAAAAGCTTCCACTCTAATAACTAAGTTTTTACTTTTAAAGATTTACAGGAACATAATAATGAAATAGTTTAGTATGTGTACACTGTATTTTCTTTATAATAGTATTTGAAACCGACCAGTCTTATGATAAACACAGTTGATATTCTATATCTATAAATATGTACACTTGGTTTCCCTTAATGTGTTTTTCTGTATCACATATAGTTAAATTCTCATCAAATTCTGATAATATATCAGAAAAATACTTATATAGAAACTTTTTCATAGAGAAAGAGGATTTATTCTGATGCCAGACTCCATGATATTACTCCATCTAATGATTTCTAATGATTCTTAGATATGGTAAGGAAGAAGGGTTAATATGTGTAGGATAAACTGTAACTATTTTAGAGTATTTCTGGCAAATTCCATGGGACTGGGACTTTTGAAGGAGTGTTTGAAGGACTTATTTCTTTAGGACAATTAAGGAACAGGTAGGAGGTCTGATTTTGAGCCATTTGGAACAGGATAATGTTATCAATTGATAAAGTATTTTCTTGTCATTAAATATTCCAAACAGTGTTATAGGATGGGCATGGGATTAGGGACTAACAAAACCTTTAAATCTAGAGCAGACTTTTAAAAATATATACTTAGTAATAACTTTGAAGACATTGAGAACAGTTTTTGTTCAGTGAGTAATAGCAGAAGGAATTGATTATGACAAGATATACAGTTATTGGTCTGAGGTGCCTCATAAGGTGTGGTATGGTTTTATCCATCTAGATTGCAATTTCCAATGCTGAGTTTTGGGTACTTTAGGATTATTTTTGCTTTTGTGTTATATTGCAAAGCTTATAAATGTTCTCGTTAAAAATTCCTACCTAAAGTACTATTTACCAAACAATATGCTTGGATATAAATTCATGTGGAGTCTGAGACCACTGAGCTTTTATACTAGTCATTCCCTCCAAAAGAGCTCTGGCCTCTTTTCCAAATATTCCTTGTTTTTTTATTATATGAAAAAAGTTGGGAAGCACTGTCCTGGAGAAAAGTTTTACCTGGTATGAATAATTGAGGTTAGAAAAGAAAAAATGGTTAGAAAGAAATCTAATGTTACGTGTGTGTCTGTTTGTGTGTATGTTCCTGTGTGTGTATGTGCATGCGCGTGTGTGCATACATGTGTGCGCAGCATGCTGGTCCTGCCCTGAAATTTTACCTCAAGGCCTATGTGCTGTCCTTGAGCTTTGCATTCAAGGCTAGTGCTCTGCCACTTGAGCCACAGTTCCACTTATGGGTTTTTGGGTGGTTAATTGAAGACAGGAGTCTTACGGCTTTTCCTATCTGGGCTAGCTTCAAACTGAAGCCTCAGATCTCAGCCTTTTGAATGGCTAGGATTGCAGGTATGAGCCACCAGTACCTAGTTTAATGCTAATACTGAACAGAGAAAAAAAAAAGTTGTGTGAGTTCATAAAGTGAAAGTTGGTGAGATTAAAGATGAAGGAGAAATTTCTGGAATGGATTATTGGAGAGAATGTTGTAAAGCACCAAGAAATGGTGGTTATATAATATAGTAGAATCAGTTATAAGAGGAACTCACCATCTCTTACAATCATTTCTAGTTCAAGGAAACATGATTTAAGAAGTTTTAAATATTTCTTTTGGCTGTAGATTGGGTTTTCTAGTATAATTAAGGTAGATTCCTTGTTTAGTTCAATAAATATGAAAATTAACAAATGCCCTCTGAGAGGGACTTTTCAAATGGCTTATAGTAAGACGACTATTTTTCTTTTCAATGTTTTAATTAGTTAGATAACTATATATAAAGAATGGTGGAAGTGTTTGTGAAGACTAAAACTAGGGAGGATAACAATTATACTTTAAAGATAATGTTCAGATCCTAAAAATCTTTTCTAGTATATAGTGCCAAATCTGTAATAGAATATAAGATTACAAACTCTAGAAGGTAGAATATGCCTCTTTTATTCATTGTTCTATCTATAAATCCTGCACAATGTCTGGAATGTAGATGAATGGTAAATAAAGTAATAGAGTTGAATAAAACACTTATTTTAATCAGGTTTATCTTATAGTCCTTTTTGATAGTTCGTGAAATTCACATTAGTTTCTATTTATTTTTGGTTTGTCTTTTGTTGTGAAGGTTTTTTTTTTTTTTAGATTTAATTTCCCTTCCTCCCTGTATTCCCCTCCTCCTCCTCTCCTTTCTCCTCTCTTCTCCTTTCTTTCCTTTCTTTCTTTTTAAATTTCATTTGTTTCTTCTCTTTCTCTTTTTCTGAGAAAGTTTTGCTATGTAGCCCTTGAACTCAGAATCCTTCTCCCTCAGTCTCTTCAGTGTTAGGATTGTAGCGCGTGCCACCTGGCCAGAAGGAACTTTTGAAGAATCTTCTTTAGGATTGTTGTTCTGAAGAAAGTAAATTGACACTTTGGAGGAGGAGCCTTTTGTGAAATGTTTATGAAAAAATAGACCTTTATTACTCTTGCTTACTATTGATCAGTATGCTATATTTTCAGTTTAGTCCAGGATTTTTAAACTGTTGACCAGGTTTTATGTAATGTATATTAGTTATTTTCTTTGGATACATATGAGTCAGGACTTAGCAGATAACCAGAAACGAGACTGGTACTTGTAGTTAGGGCTTTTTTTTTTTTTTTTTTGTCGAACATGGGTTTGAACTCTGGGCCTGGGCACTGTCCTTCAGCTCTTTAGCTCAAGGCAAGTGCTCTATTGCTTGAGCCACAGTGTCACTTCTGGTTTTCTAGTGGTTTATTGGAGATAAGAGTCTCACGGACTTTCCTGGCTTTGAACTGGTATCCTGAGATCTCCGCCTTCAGAGTAGCTGAGGTGTGAACCACTGGCACCCAGCTGTGGATAGGGCTTTTAAGAAAGATTTTAAATCTTCAATCCTTACCCAGTCAGTTCAGATACATTTGTGAATGGTTGGGACTGTGACACATTGAGTCAGTCTTGCCCAAATAAGACAGCATTAGTTACCAAGATTGGATCCAGTATTTTCAATGTTTGAGCTTTTCAGAGTGGGGAAAAACCTTGATTTACAAGAGTTCTATTCATCTTAATGTTCTTGTTGTCACTATTCAGCAAAATGTTATGGTGGGTACTCTTTCAGAAGCTTGAAAGCACTGGGAAGGTAGTTTAGTGATAGAGTGCTTGCCTTGCATGCACGAGGCCCTGGGTTTGATTCCTCAGCATCACTTAAGCAGAAAAAGCCGTAAGTGGTGCTGTGGCTCAAGGGAGCGCTAGCCTTGAGCTGAAGAGCTGAGGGCCAGTGCCCAGGCCCAGAGTTCAGGCCCTATGACCAACCAAAAAAAAAAAAAAAAACAAAACCAAAAAACAGAAAAAGAAGCTTGAAAGCATTAGTGAATACAACAGGGATTCTGCCATCCTGGAGCCTATGTTCTAGTGGGAAAGGAAATAACACATTTTTTTGTAACCTTTGTACATTAAGTGATAAGCTGATGAATTCTATGAGGGAAAATAGTAGGCTAGGGAAGGGAAGTTGGTCACAGTTGGGTAGACTGCCACATTAAGTAGGATTATATGATTGGGTTTAAGCCTCATGAACGAGATTTGTTTAAGATTTAAATAAAAAGAAAGGATACCTGGATAAAGAGTGTTCCAAGCAGGTGCTGGTGGCTCATGCCTGTAATTCTAGTTGAGTAGGAGGAGACTAAGCTCTGAGGATCACAGTTCGAAGCCAGCCCAGGCAGACAAGTTTATGAGGCTCTTTCTTCCAATAAACTACTCAGAAAAAGCCGGGTGAGGTTCTGTGGCTCAAGTAGTAGAGCACTAGCCTTGACCACAAAGAGACTCAGGGACAGTGACCAGGCCCTGAGTTCAAGCCCCAGGACTGGCAAAGAAAAATAAAAATAATAACAAAAGAGTATTCTAGACAGAGGGTACATTAGAATCAAATTCTGAAGGCAGGAATGGGAGAAGACTTGTGTAGCTAGAGCACTGGAGCTGGAAAAGGTAAATAAGGTTGTTAGTGGTATATCATGCAGGGCCTTGTAAGCCATTGCAAACTCTGGCTTTTACTCTGTGACTTAGGCATTCAGTAGTGCATCATTGGTTTAGCTTGTCTACTAATTTATACATATTCTACAGATAAAGAACGTCATCTAGGTGTGAGATGATGATAGCTGAGACCAGGGCCAAATTGATAGCCAAGATTGTAGGTAAAGTTTGAAGATAGAACTAGTGTGATCTCTTAATAGATGATTGTAGGGCTTGAGAAAGAGGGTTTGTTTTTGTTTTTATTCTTTTTTAAAATGTTACCATGACTGCTCATTGGGTATGATTTAAGTGGATAGTTTACACAATTCATTTTCTAAATATTCTTTTATAATTTAAGTTTTAGGTTATTGCTTATTTGATCTCAACTGTACTTATAATAGATTGGTTGATTCATTCTGCTTGGTATAAACATTAGGAGTGACTTTTCCTCATAGTGTAGAGTTCTTATCTTCAGCCTATTTCAATACATGTTTATAGAGTAGTTGTTACATCTAAGATATTGTTTTGTGCTTGAGATATAATAAATACCATTTGGCCATTTACCTTGACCCATAATATGGTAATTGGTGCTGTATTACCATTATGGGCAAAATGCTATGGGAGGTAAAATAAGGAGGCTCTGAATTCTGCATGCCTGGGAAACAGGGACTGCCTTTCTTATTTATTTATTATTTTGTATTTATTATAAAGATGGTGAAAAGGGGGGGGGAGGTTAGAGTTATGTAAGTAAGGTAATTAGTACATTTCCTTTAAAACATTGTTACTCCCTCCCTCATTTTCTCCCTCTTTTATCTCTCCCTACACCCTTCCTCCCCAGATTATAAAATTCATTTCCAACATAGTATCTAGTGAGTATCATTGTTGCATTACTACATCCTTTGTCTTGCTGTTTCTGTGATTTTCTTTAACAGGGAATGCCTTTCTAAGAGATATTAAAGTAGGTCCTTGAATATAGGCTAAAAGTTTGCCAATTTCTCTTTCTATCTCTCTCTCTCTTTCCCTCTCTCTTCCTTCCTTCCTTCCTTCCTTCCTTCCTTCCTTCCTTCCTTCCTTTTTTTGTTTTTGATTGAGATCATTTGTTTCTCTTAAGGTTTATTAGCTTTATACACCATATTAGTGAGGAAAAGGGATAGTGATCAACTTACTACTTAAAGAAGAAAAATTCAAGACTGTATAAAATAAATATTACATTTAGAAATCTAGCTTTCCAATTAAAAAAATATATATACATCTTACTGACTCCTGGTAAGTTCTCCTAACATTGCTGCTCAATAATGTTTATAGGACTTTTAGTGGAGAGTATAAACTAGCATTAATGTTGGTATTGGTAATATACTTCAAATCATAGCATATTTTGTTCAAAGTATTTGTAACTCAGATTTTTACAAGATATCATGTTTACATGTTCATAGAGAGGTCAGGAAGTGCTAATAAAGTATTAGTCTCAATTTTATTTTATTTTTTGTGCCAGTCCTAGAGCTTAAACTCAGGGCCTGGGATCCGCCCCTAAGCTTCTTTTGCTCAACCAGCTCTCTGTCACTTGAGCCAAAGCTTTACTTTTGGCTTTTTTGGTAGTGTAGTGGAGAGTCTCACAGACTTTTCTGCCCATGCTGGCTTTGAACCACAATTCTCAGATCTCATTCTCCTGAGAAGCCAGGATTACAGGTGTAAGCCACTGACAACTGTTTGAGTCTTAATTTTTACTTTTAATGCCTTTTAAAGGCATTAATGCCTTTGTTTTAATGCCTTCCAATTTACACAGTAAATTGTCAAAAATGATTAAATTGTTTTCATCATATAGTATTTGAAGAATGATTTAGGACTGAGTATGTAGCACAAAGGTAGAGTGCTTGCCTCGTCCACACAGGCCTGGGGTTCAATCTGTGTTTTAAAAAAGAAAGAATTTAATGAGTGACTTTTATATTGAAAAGTTAGTTTACTCTTAAAAGTTGTACTCTTTTATATGGTGAATGTTCTCATTTTTGAATGTAGAAAATCTATGTACATGAAATGCCTTATTTTTTGACATTGTAGATAAATGGGACTTGAGTAAGATTTATTATTACTGTGTTACGTTAAATAAATCTTTGTCTTGCCTGTAGCTCCCTGCTTTATATCTTAACAAAAATGTTTTTTTCTTAGGTTCAAAAGATGTTGTGATAAAGGCACAAGTTTTAGCAGGTGGGAGAGGAAAAGGAACATTTGAAGGTGGCTTCAAAGGAGGAGTGAAGATAGTTTTTTCGTGAGTGGTATTTTTTAAAGGATAATTACTATTAGAGATTGATTAAAATTGTTGAAAATGTTGAGATTTATATATAAATGAGATGAGATTTTAGCTGTAATGTGTAATTTTCTTAGTTTGAAAGTGAAGAATCTGAATTATTTTTCTTATTTCAGACCAGAAGAAGCAAAAGCTGTTTCCTCACAGATGATTGGGAAAAAGTTATTTACTAAGCAAACGGGAGAAAAGGGCAGAATATGCAATCAAGTTTTGGTCTGTGAGCGGAAGTATCCCAGGAGAGAATACTACTTTGCAATAACAATGGAAAGGACATTTCAAGTGAGTTATTAATTGGTATGACAAAATTTATGACATTCAATTTCACAAGTTGGAAAAGTAAAAATATATGATCTGTAACTCACATGCAGTATTTATGTCATAGTTTGAAAAATAGTGTGGTAAGTGCTATGAAATTTGACATGCAATGTTATGATTTAAAAAAAGTTATAGGAAAAACCTTGCTATAATAAATTAGCACTGTAAAATAGTTCACCAAATAGAAAGTTTTGTGTATCCATTGCTTCATCTCTTTCTTTTCTACTTCTTGGTATATTTTAAGGTTGTTTTTTGTTTCACTATGTGATTTGGTATTTGGTAAGTTGCAGGTGAAATTAAGTAGCAAACAGTATGATTTTACATGACAATAACTCTTATAAGTTCTTTACAGAACCTAGAATTCTACCATTGAACCCCAGGTATCAGGTTTAATGACAGTCCTTTCATAGAAAGAGTAAAAATAAATATTTTACACTGAAATTATCTGGCTTTTTGAGTATATATTGAGTATATTAAGTAGATTTTACAAGCCAAATCTGTGTTAATCAGCCAGATGATTTTCTTTTGTACATATTTAAAAGCCTTAGAAAGGATTTGATATAGAACATTTTTACTAATGTTTAAGTTAGAGTAACAAATTTTAATGGTTGTACAGTAGTTTCTTAAGTAGAACAACTTTTAAAGATAGAATATTTTCCCTAATGTGATATTTTTCTCCCACAATTGAAACTTTAGTAATGTTCAATTTATGAAAAGATCCTACAACTTTTTAAGAAAATATTAAGTTATATCACTAGGTGGTAGTAAAAACCCACTCTTAATTAACAAGAATTGTTTTAACTAGTAATCTATAGTTTTTTTTTACACAGTAAAATTTCATTTTTCATGATGCTAATGTATGACACAACTTTGCAAAAACATTTACTTTAACTACTTTTCCTTTAGCTACTTTTCCTTTTGTTATAACATCTATAAGTACCTATTATTTTTTTAACCTGTTCTAAAGCTTGAACTAGGGTCCTCTCATTCTTGCTTAGCTTTTTCACTTTGGGCTGGTGTTCTACCACTTGAAACACACTTCCAGTTGTCATTTTGTTATTTAACTGGAGGTAACGGTCTTAGAGACTTTTATGCTAAGGCTGGCCACTTCTTTCTGGCAGCTTTCAATATTCTTCTTTATATTTTCTGCTTCAGTTATAGTCTTTCTGAGTGTTCTTTTCTGATCTTGCCTATTTGATGTTTTGTGACCCTCTTTTTCTAGAAATTGAACATGTTCTCCGCCATTATTTTATTGAATGGTTATCTATGTCTTTAGTTTATATATTTTCTCCTATGTACATAATTAGTTAGTTTGGTATTTTGGTGATATCTCAGAAGTCTTGCATAATCAATGCATTTTTCTTATGCTTTTAAAAATGTCTTCAACTGATTTATCTAATTCTACTTTACTTCCAATCCCTGTTACTCTATTTTTAACTTGTTGGGTTCTATGAGCTAAGCTTTCAATTGGGTTTATTTCAGTTATTGAGCTTGTCATTTCTAGTATTTTAAGTTGATAGTTTTTTCTTTTTAAATTTTTTAATACTTACATTGATTTTGAATTGTCTTTGGGTTCAGTTAGCTGTTTATTTTTCTTGAAATAATGTGGCTGCTTATACACCTTTTTAACCATCTATCTAATCTAATCTATCTAAACTCTATCTCTATCTATCTATCTATCTATCTATCTATCTATCTATCTATCTATCTATCTATCTATCTATCTATCTACCTATCTACCTACCTAGATTTAGTGTGGGTCTTGGGGCTTAAACTCAGGGCCTAGGTGTAGTCCCTGAGCTTTTTTGCTCAAGGCTAGCATTCTATCCTTGAACCACAGCTCCACTTCTGGCTGGTTTTGGTGGTTAAGTAGAAAAAAGAGTCTCGCAGACTTTCCTGTCCTGGTTGACTTCTAACTATTATCTTCAGATCTCAGTTCCTGAGTAGATATGAGCCACCAGTACCTAGCTACCCCCCCCTCAAATTCACTGTTTGAAATTTATTCCTATGTACACTATCATTTATATTTTTTGTTGTGAAGTTGTTGTGTTTTTACACTGGGGTACTATGTATTATTCATAATATAATGTATGTATTACATATTATATATATATATATATATATAATTTTTTGTTAGGGCCAGAACCTTTCAAATTAGTAGAGCCTGTGGTAGATTTGCATATTCTTATAGGACCCTCTGAGCCTCTAGTGAAGCCCATATATTAGGTACACTCTGCTTGGGCCTCTGTGTCTGCTGTCTGTGGATCCTCATTGCCCATAGTCATCCTCCTCTCTTGGGTTATTGGTGAAATTAACAGTGCTTTGCCGTAGCTCTTCGTTGTTCTTCAAGGATTTTTGTGTGAGAATAATTGTTCAGTTAGGTATGTCTGTGAGAAAGAATGCCAGATGATGTCATGCCATCTCCATCTTGGACTTACCAATTAGCTTTTCTTTTTCTGCCTGTCCTAGCCCTTGAACTCAGGGCCTGAGTGCTGTCCCTGAGTGTCTTTGTGCTCAAGACGAGTGCTCTACCACTTGAAACACAGTACCATATCTGGCTTCTTCTGAGTAGTTCATTGGAGATAAGAGTCTCATAGACTTTCCTGCCCTTGCTGGCTTCCAACTGTGTCTGCAGCTCTCAGCCTCCTGAGTAGCTAAGATTACAAGCATGAACCATCAGTTCCAGTGATATATTTCCTTTTTTTTTTTTCTTTGTGGTACTGGGGTTTGACCTTAAGGCTTTGTCCTGGAACTCTACCACTTGAGCCACACCTCCAGCCCTATTTTTGTGAGTATAAGAATAGTATATTTAGGGTTAGGTGTGATACCCTGTAATTCACATACTCAGGAGACAGAGTTAGGAGGACTTTAGTCCAAGGCCAGCATAAAGAGACTGTTACCTGAAAACAATGAAAAGCAGAAGGATTGGGGACATTTGTCAAATGGTAGTGTAGCTGCCTAACAAGTGTAACACCTTTCAGTACTGTCAAGTAAGTAAAAGAATAGTATGTTTATAGTAAAGAATTTTTTTTTGGAAAATAGGTATATGTAAAATAAGGCTTATCTTTATGTTTTATTTACTACCTTGTTATTTATATTAAATGATAACACAATTTAGAGTTTTGTATTTTTTTTCTTTAAACACTTTGTGTATATAACTGATGCATGAGCTGCATGTGTTCTTGTCTCTTTGGCAGTGTAGAAATAAAACCAGGAACCATGATCACAGTTGTAAAGAGTTTATTTAGCGAAGAGAAAGTAAAGGCAACTCAGGAGTGCCAGTAGTGAGAAACTGGTTGTCTGCTACGTGGCCAGGGACCTGCTGTTTTGCATTGTCCCTCACTACCTTTTTTTTTTTTCCTTTTGGCAATTTGTCAGATGATGATTGGTTTGTTTGAAACAGGTAAGACCCTCTCCTGGGTAGTAGCCAAAGGATGGTAGCTTGCAGTAGGGCTGGTCTGAGCATAGCAGGACTCAAGACCTCCCTTGGGTGGTGACGTATAAGAGGACTGGCCTGAGTTATGGTAAGAACCACGACCTTCCCCTGGGTGGTGGCCACCAGTTGGGAGGAGGTAAGCCAGCCTGAACTGGTTGGCTGGTATTTTCCTTTAAAACCAACATTTTTTTTTTTTTTTAGTGGTGTTAGGGTTTGAATTTAGGGCTTCATGCTTATTAGGCAGGTGCCTTCACTGGAGCCATTCCCCACAGGCCTTTGTGCTTATTTCTTAGATACGATCTCATGCTTTTTCTTAGGCTGTCTTTATACAAAATTCTTTTACCAGTCTTCTAAATTTCAGGAGTGTACTTCCATGCTTGGCTTGATCTTTGAGACAGGTCTTATTTTTTTGCCCTGGCTAAACTTTTAACTGCTATCTTCTGATGTCCTTCTCCTCAGTAACTGGGATTAAAGGTGGGAGTCCTTGCACCTGACCATAACTCTCTGTTGATCATTATTTTCTTATGTCAGTAAATGTATTTAGTAATATGTGTTTACATAAGTAATATGTATTTACCATTTTTACATGTTAAGGTAATGTACAGATTAGCAAATATATTAATTTGTTTTAAGATTTTTAAAATTATTTTACAGCACCCCCAAATTACTTAACTATTGTATTAACATATTACTTTGTTACATTGTTTATGATAATAGTCAGAGTGAGTTTTCATGGTAGTTAGCTTTTGTTTTTATTCATGTACAGTAAAGTTAGAGATTAGAAAACCTACAGCTTTTTTCTTAGGCTGCTTCTTTCAAATGTGAATATAATCTGTTTTTGTAATTTTCTAATGGTTGTATTTTAAACATTTTTTAATGTCTCAAGTTCATACAAAAAGGTATAGGTTATATTTCATGTACATGCGTATATTTACTTATTTGGTATAAATGTCCATGTGCACTTTTAATTGTTTTCCTTGTATGCATGCCATTGTCTATGTCTTGTTCTTGTTTCATTTGAACATGTTAAGGAGGCACTGTGCTGGAAATATAAGGATAAATTTTTAAGGAGATGTAAAAATAAGAGCAGGAAATAGAATGCCTAAGTCTGATATTGTACGCAGGTAGATTTTAAAATTTTATTAATGAGTCTAGAATAAACTCTGTGTTTTGTCTCTTTTCCTACTTGGTAGGGTCCTGTGTTAATAGGAAGTTCACAAGGTGGTGTGAACATTGAAGATGTTGCTGCTGAGACTCCCGAGGCTATCATTAAACAACCTATTGATATTGTAGAAGGCATCAAAAAGGAACAAGCTGCCCAAGTATGTTGTATTCTGAAAAAATATAGCTTGCAATTATAGGATTATAACACTTAAAGATAATTAACTGTACAAAAGTGAAGTGATTGTTCAGTTTTTAAAAAGGGATTGATATCTGAGCACTGGTTGCTCATACCTGTAATCCTAGCTACTCAGGAAGCAGAGCTCTGAGGATGGGGGTTTGAAGCCAGCCCAGGCAGAAAAGTCTGTGAGATTCTTTTATCTGCAGTTAACTATCAGAAAACTGGAAGTGGTGCTGTAGCTCAAAGTGGTAGACTGCCAGCCTTGACCAAAAAAGCTTAGGGACAACATATAGGACCTGAATTCAAGCCTCATGACTGACCAAAATAAAAAAAGAGATGATCAAAACAAGTTAATGTCTTACTTAAAATATTTGAAAGTATCTGTAATTTTTTATCAGTATTCTTTGTGGGGTGTGTGTGTGTGTGTGTGTGTGTGTGAATTTAGGGGTCTTGAATTCAATGGTTTTATTCCCTTATGGCTGGCATTCAACCACCTAAGCCACACCTTCAGTCTTACTTTTTGTTGTCATTGACTTTTCTACCTGGGCTGGCTTTGAACTATAATCCACTAGGTTTTAGTCTTTTGAGTAGCTGGGATTATAGGGCCTCAATATTTATCTTGAAAAGACAGGGAGTTTTTTTTTTTTTTTTTTAAGAAGACTACTGTATCTAGTATCATTAACAATTCTTTAATATCTTCACTCATTCAGTCATGCAGTTTCTTCTTATTGTCTGAAATTGTTTCTCTTGTAATTTATTTGAGTCAGGATCATATTGCTATTGGTTAATATGTCTTATATAAGTTTTCTAATGTATACATGTTACCATTTCTCTTCATTTCCATTATTTTTTGATGAAACTGGAGTGATTATTACTATAGTTTGAATTTTCCATTACCTTAATCCCTTTTTGCTATTTTAATGTTCTTTTATGTCCTGTAAATGTATAGAATGATTTGGATTTTCATGAATCCTGTGGATTTTTCAGTTATATACACATACACAGTAATTTTTGCTTATAATTTCACTGGTTTTATGTTCTTTCCTTCCTCTTCTGTAGCCCCTGTTCCCTCTGTTTCCTTTAAAAAAAATCATAGAATTTAATTCTACTATGTCTTGTGAAAGTTGGAAATTACTTAGTAATATACTATTGAGTTGTATTATTTGGTTTAATGCTATACATGAATGATTCATTTTAAAAGTTGGAATAGCCAGGCACCGGTGGCTCACACCTGTAATCCTAGCTAATCAGGAGGGTGAGATCTGAGGATCACAGTTCAAAGCCAGCCTGGGCAGAAAGGTCTATAAGACTCTTATTTCCAATTAACTACCAGAAAACCAGAAGTGGCGCTGTGGCTCAAGTGGTAGAGTGCTAGCCTTGAGCTGAAGAGCTCAGGGACAGCGCCCAGGCCCAGAGTTCAAGACCCATGACCAACAACAAAAAAAGTTGACGTTAACTATCTTAGTGGGAAAATGATGTCAAATTAATTTCTGCAAGAACAAAAGTTTGATTGGGAAATTTCTCTGATGAATAGTGAAGCAAATAACTTCGTCAAATGAATGCTGTGAATGTTTAAAGAGATAGAGATTTGCTTCATTAGGTATTTACATGCAAGTGATATCTGGAAAGTGAAATTTAGATCAAGTAGGAAATACTTGATTTACAAGAATCCTTGAAATAATAATGTGCTAAATTAAAGCATTTTGAATGCTGAGCAGAAATGATGCTTAGCTTAGTGCTGGGCAAATTAACATGATACTGAATTGATCAGGATTATTTTGGGATTAAGCTTATTAAGTATTGAATTGTGTACTAGTGAATATCTTTCTTAGTGAAATGGTACTGTTATTTATTTATTTATTTATTTGTTTGTTTAAGTGCTGGTACTGGAGCTTGAACTCAGGACCTGGATGCTATCCCTTAGCTTTTTCACTCAAGGTTGGAGCTCTACCACTTGAGTCACAGCCCGACTCTGGCTTTTTTTCTGGTTAAATGGAGAGTCTCAAGTACTTTCCTGCCTATACTAGCTGTAAATTGCAATCCTCAGATCACAGCCTCTTAAGTAGCTAGGATTGCTATGGGAGCCAGCAGGACCTGTCTCATATTTCTTTTTTTTTTTTTCTTTTTGGGTCTGGTCATGGGACCTGAACTCTGGGCCTGGGTGCTGTCCCTCAGCTCTTCAGCTCAAGGCTAGTGCTCTACCACTTGAGCCACAGTGCCACTTCTGGCTTTTTTCTTTTTGCTTATGTGGTTCTGAGGAATCAAACCCAGGGCCTCTGGCATGCAAGGCATGCACTCTACCACTGAGCCACCTTCCCAGCCCCATATTTCTTTATTTGAAATAAAAGTAAAATTATATTTCTTTTATTTACTCTTGACCAGAATCATTGACCCTCAAAGAATTTAAGATTTTCTTTTTTGTTTTGTTTTGTTTTTGCCAGTCGTGGGGCCTGAACCCTGGGCCTGGGCTCTGTCCCTCAGCTCTTCAGCTCAAGGCTAGCGCCCTACCACTTGAGCAACAATACCACTTCCAGCTTTTTCTGCTTATGTGGTGCTGAGGAATTGAACCCAGGGCCTCATGCATGCAAGGCAAGCGCTCTACCACTGAGCCACCTTCCCAGCCCAGAATTTAAGATTTTCAATTCAAAGAATGTGCTACAGCACATTGGTCACATTGAAAAGAGGGAGAGAATTCTCTGTTGTGTTTCTGAGTAACAGCAGAACTGTTAGAATAAACATATTGACATGTTTTCTATTATTTCAATTAAATAGGAAGTGGAGGTAGGAGGATTGTCCCTTTCTCATCTGTAAAATGGGCACAATTGTGACCTGCTTTGGGAAGACTTTAAGTTTTATTGAGACATTTAGTAATAATAGTTGGTATTTCAGTAGTTACTGTTTGACTATGAGTGACTCATGAGAATTGATAAACAGGTTTTGTTTCTAATACTTTAATGCTAATTGACTATGCATCACTACTATTTATTAAAGACAAATTGCTTTCAGCTTGCAGAAAAGATGGGATTTCCACCTGATCTTGTGGATTCTGCTGCAGAAAACATGATCAAACTTTATCATCTTTTTCTGAAATATGATGCAACTATGCTAGAAATAAATCCGATGGTAGAAGATACAGATGGAACTGGTAAAGTAGCTTCTTTTATCAAGCTGATGTTTACAGAAGTGAACTCATTGTTCTGTAGAAGCTTAATTTATAATGAATTGAATGTAAATAGGAAAGAAACCCAGAAACTTATTTGATAATGAATTGAATTGAATAGCAAAGAAACCCACTAACACAAATACATATATACAGGGATTAGATTTGTACTGCTTGTATAATGACCATCAGCCACATGTGGGTATTTAATTAAAATTAGTTAAAATTATTTAAGATTTGAAGACTCAGTTCCTCTATTGTATTAGTCATGTTTCATGTGTTCAAGAGCTATATGCGATTAAAATGTGGGATAGGGCTAGCAGTATGGAGTGTTTTTTATATCGCAGAAGTTTTGTTGGTATGTGTGTGTGTGAGCGCGTGCGTGTGAATGTGACCGTGCCAATCCTGGGGCTTGAACTCAGGGCCAGGGTGCTGTCCCGGAGCTTTTTTTTTGTCCAAGCCTAGCATTCTACCACCTGAGCCACAGCTCCACTTCTGGCTTTCTGGTAGTTAATTGGAGAGAGGCATCTCACAAATTTTCCTGCCTGGGCTGGCTTCAAAGCCTCCTAAATTGCTAGGCTTACAGGTATTAGCCACCAATGCTGTGTCCTCATATCTTTTAGCCATCTATCTTTTAAACAACTTTAGGATGTTGTAGTTAAATTTGGAGTGAGGAAGAAGAGTACTGGAAGGTGAAGTCAGAAAAGTAACTTTTTTGCTGGTAGATGCTGATTGGAATGTAGATAAGAGACAATGGCAGGACAAAATAGTTCAGGGATCAACATGGGTTAGAAGTTAATATGTTAAGCATTATGATCCACCTACCAGCTTGATTTCTGTTATCTTCGTATTTTTGTTCTGTCTTTCCCGTCTTTCTTTATTCATAATCCTTTAAAGATGTAAAACCCTCAGTTGGAGGTGTAGCTTAATAGGTAGAGCATCTGCCTTGAAAGTGGGAAACTCTGAATTTAATCTTCAATACTGCAGGAAAACAAAAAAGCAAAACCCATTTTCTTAGTAGCTCACAGGCCATCATAAAAACGAACACAGTCAAGTTTGGTATGTTGACCATAGTTTGCTAATCTTTCTATTCAGCAAAGCCTTTTAAGAAGTTCTGGTCAGGAAACAAAGAGATGGTAAAATTGAATGATTTTATTTTTCCTTCTTATATAAGGTGGAGAAATACTAGTATTTTTGCAAGTTAGTGGAATTTAGCCACTAGGAAAGTGGTAGAGGAGATTTATTATGTAGCAAAGACAGAATTGATGCAACATTATTCTTTTTTTTTTTTATCAGTCATGGGGCTTGAACTCTGGGCTTGGGCACTGTCCCTGCGCTCTTCAGCTCAAGATGAGCACTACCACTTGAGCCACAGTGCCACTTCTGGTTTTCTGGTGGTTAATTGGAGATAAGAGTCTTATAGACTTTCCTGCCCAGGCTGGCTTTGAACTGTGATCCTCAGATCTCAGCCTCCTGAGTAGCTAGGATTACAGGTGTGAGCTACTGGTGCCCAGCAACAGTATTCTTGACTAATGAAGAGAGGATGGGATCTGGAGCCCAGAGTGGGTTAGCTAGGAGCATGGACTTTCTTGGAAAGTTTTTAAGGACTTAAAATGCCATGGTTTTTTTTTTTATCTTATTTGTTTTTTCTTCCTTTGTTGCCTAAGATGGAGGCAGAAATAGTAACTTTGGAGTATTTTAAATTTCAGCTATTTAAAAACCAGTTTGGAATAATTGGAATATAAATTGAAATATGTCAAATAAGTAACAAAATTAAAATGTGTTTTTTTTCCTTGGACTACATGATATTTGATGGTTGAATAGTTTATTGCTCATTTCATAAAGTTGAGATCACTTTCTCTTTTTCTCTTGAAGTGTTATGTATGGATGCAAAGATCAATTTTGATTCTAATTCAGCCTATCGCCAAAAGAAAATCTTTGCCCTTCAGGACTGGACCCAAGAAGATGAAAGAGACAAACATGCAGCTCAGTCAGATCTCAACTATATTGCTCTTGATGGAAATATAGGCTGTCTTGGTACTACATGTTTTTATATTACAGCTGGCTTTGCTACACTTACTTTGTTATCTCTGTTTGTTACTTATACAAATTATCTTCCCCTCTTGATAGTAAATGGTGCTGGTTTAGCTATGGCTACAATGGATATAATAAAACTCCATGGAGGGACTCCAGCCAACTTTCTAGATGTTGGTGGTGGTGCCACAGTCCAACAAGTAACAGAAGCATTTAAACTTATAACATCAGATAAAAAGGTAAGGGCAGAATTAATGCCTTGAAATTTAAATTATGAGGAGTAATTTTATTAGTAGATTTCATCATTATGCTAGTTGAACATTGTATTCAAAAGATCTCAATAGTTTGGGAAAAAAGTTAAAATCTTACAAGTGCAATAATGTTAATTTGACAAAGTTGATTGTTAGACTTGTAAATTTAACAATCAAGGTGAACAAATATTAAATGGCTTAACTTTCGATCCTAAAGGGTTATGAGATGATAGGTCATTTGGAAAAAAATTCCTTGAGATATGGTTTGACCACAGAAAGCCCAGAAATCAAGAAAATAAAGCTACAGAAAAGGAAGTGAGAAAAGTCACCTGTAATTTTATGTAGGATAACTTGTTATTGACTTGATTCCTTTAAGATGTGTTAATGATTGTATATTTTACACAAACACATTACATGTATGTTCTTTTAAAAACAGCTTTGCTTAGATGTAGTTCACATATTGTACAATTTACCCAATTATTTATATCTTTAAGGCCAGGTACTGGGGTTCATGACTAAAGTCCTTGCTACCTAGAAGGCTGAGATCAGAGTATCACAGTTTAAAGCCATCCCAGATAGACAAATCTGAGATTATTATCCTTTACCAACAGAAAGCTGGAAGAAAGGCCTGGCTCAAGTGGCAGAACTCAAGCCTTGAATGGAAAAAGCCAAGTGAGAGTAGTAGGACTTGGGTTCAACCTCTAGTGTGTATATACACATGTGCGCGCGCACACACACACACAGACTTTTGCTAATATATTTTGATTTTAAAAAATTTACTGAAGTAATTATTTTAAAACACTCATTTTGATGTTCAAATGATGTCTTACAAATGTGTCATAATTTACAACTACATATTTACTAGTTATTATTGAAATATAAGGGATGTGAAGCATTCAAACTAAAGACATTCATGTTATTATTCACAAATGCTGGTTAAAGAATATTACTATTGGTTGGCCAGTGTGGATTTTGTAAAGCTTATAAAAAAGTAAAATAATGGTCTAGAACTTAAGCTGGTTTCTCATTGCTAGGGGATCATATTTTACAAACTGTTGGATCTAATACATAGGCCATTAATAATGTTTATCATTGATGTTGCTAGCAGTTGTTGATGCATTGATGTTGCTAGAGTCATTCTACTCTAGATTGATTCTTTCTTTCTTTCTTTCTTTCTTTCTGTTATGGGGCTTGAACTCTGGGACTGCTCCTTCCTTCCTTCCTTCCTTCCTTCCTTCCTTCCTTCCTTCCTTCCTTCCTTCCTTCCTTCCTTCCTTCCTTCCCTCCCTTCCTCCCTTCCCTTCCCTTCCCTTCCCTTCCCCTCCCTTCCCTTCCCTTCCCTTCCCCTCCCCTCCCTTCCCCTTCCCTTCCCTTCCCCTCCCTTCCCCTTCCTTCCTTCCTTCCTTCCATCCTTCCTTCTGTTGTGGGGCTTAAACTCTGGCCCTGGGAGCAATCCCTCAGCTCAAGGCAAGCACTCTACCACTTGAGCTACAGCGCTACTTCTGGTTTTGTGATAGTTTATTGGAGATAAGAATCTCATGGCTTTTCCTGCCCAGGCTGGTTTTGAACTGTGATCCTCAGATCTCAGCCTCCTGGGTACCTAGGATTACAGGTGTGAGTCACCAGTACCGGCTACTGTAGAATTTTTAATAAATCTAATTTTAACTTGGATTGCCTTCACTTTTGATTCTAAAGGGTTATTTATCATATTCTTTTTTTTCTTCTCAGTGGCACTACAGGTTGAACTTAGGGCTTTGTGCTTGTAAGACAGGTCTGTCACTTGAAGCATGACTGCAGTCCCTTTTTGTCTTGGTTGTTTTTGAGGTAGGGTTTCACTTTTTATGCCCAGGCTAGCCTGGGCTATGATACTTTTACTTTTGCTTCCCCATGTTGCTGGGAATGAAGTCACATACCACTACAACCAGCTATTGATTGTGCTTCCTTTGTGGCTGGGATAACCACCCAGCTATTGGAGTAAAATATGGAGTCTTGTGAACTAGAATGCATAGCTGACTGGGTCTCAAAATCTTCAATTTTACTCAGAGGATTTAAGTAAAATGAGACATAAAAGGTGCTTTATTTCTTTGGGTGATGATCCCTGTTATGCTGTTGATGCAATATAGAGGTTTAAGTTTGGGTTGTGATGATACTAGACAATTGGTTGTAAATATACTACTAATAGTTATTGTATGTATATTTGAAGTCTTTAGGATAGTGAGAAAAGTTGAAGTCTTAGGAGTTGATGCGGTAATCAACCGAGAAGGAAACTTGACCTCTCAGAGTTGAAGGGTTGAATAAAGAAGCAACACTCATTGAAAGCTAGAACAAAGTGATAGGTAAACTTGTTAACTGGTTGTAGAGTATGAGAAGCAAGGTGATAGCCAACAGTGCTAAATGATGTAGAAATAGTCAAGCACAATAGAGACTGAAAGAGCTGAAGAACAATAGAAGGAGGAGCAGAGGCCAGTTTGGAAAGAGTGAAGCTGTGATTAGGAATTGAGAAGTTGGGGACTTCCTGGTGCAGTAATTTTTCCAGGATGATGATGATTGTAAATGAAGTCCCAGAAAGGACACACTGTTCTCATTTGAAAGAGAGAGAGCTGAGGCAAACTTTGTGGTATGTGCTCACTTATTTAGAAGAATATATATATTGCTTGAACAGAGTTGGTAGAGTAGGTATGACAAAATTAAGCATGCAGGTGAAAGTGTGGTTGATCCACACATTGCAGATTCTGTAGTGAAGGTCAGTTCAGGCTTGGAGAGGAGAAAGGAACTGAGGGATTAGAGAGAGGCTTTTGAGAAAAGAGTAGTTTTGCTGGGCACCACTGATTTATGCTATAATCCTAGCTACATTTTTCCTTTCTTTCTTTCTGTCTGTCTGTATTTCTTTCTTTCTCTCTCTTTCTTTTTCTCTCTTTCTCTCTCTCTTTCTCTCTTTCTTTCTCTCTTTCTCTCTTTCTTTCTTTCTCTCTTTCTCTCTTTCTTTCTTTCTCTCTCTCTTTCTTTCTTTCTTTCTTTCTTTCTTTCTTTCTTTCTTTCTTTCTTTCTTTCTTTCTTTCTCTCTCTCTCTCTTTCTTTCTTTCTCTCTTTCTTTCTTTCTTTCTTTCTTTCTTTCTTTCTTTCTTTCTTTCTTTCTTTCTTTCTTTCTTTCTTTCTTTCTTTCTTTTGTGCTGGTCCAGGGGCTTGATTGAACTCTGTTCTACTTCCAGCTTGTTGGTGGTTAACTGGACATGAGAGTCTCATGGACTTTCCTGCCCAGGTTTGATTTGAACTGGGATCATAAGATCCCATCCTCACCTGTCGAAGAAAAGAGTAGTTTTGAAGAGGTGAAAAGTATTGTAGATGAAGGAGAGGATGATGGGCAGAGAGTGAGATTTACAGATTGATATTCTGGAGATGTTTGTTGCGGTATAGTCAAATGTAGGATTTATTGTTGGTAGTAATTAGTTAAAATGGACTGAAAGTACTTCGTAGAGATCCAGTAACTTTAAGGCTACAGTGTTGGGTGATGTTTTCTAGTGAATAATGAAGTTGCCTGGAAGGAAGTAGAAGAGAGGAGAATAGGAGAGGATCCTATTCCACTATGAGTTCTAGTCCATTTAATAGAGCTCCACTCCTTTCCCTTTTTCTTTTCTTTCTTCTTTTTGCAGTATTGAGGATTGAACTTAGAATCTTATTCTTGCTAGGTAAGCATTCTACCTCTTGAGTGGCATTTCCAGTCTTTTGCTTTTTTAATTTGTTTTTCAGACAGGATCTCATACTTTTGGGGATAGGCTCTTGCTACTTTTTGCTCTTGCTGGTCTCAAATCTCAGTTCTATTTCTTCTTCCCAAGTAGTTAGAATTAAAAGAATTACCATACCTGACCTTGAGAGTCATTTCTTGAAAGTCTACAAATAAGAAAAGGAATATGTAGGATAGCCAATATCATGGCATTCACAGAAAATATTTATGGTTGAGGTTGAAAGGAGAGCTCTTGCCTAGAATGTGCAAGGTCCTGTTTGATCTTTTTCTCTTCTTTTTTTTTGTTTTCATTTTTAAAAAAATATACTTTATTGTAAAGAAGCTGTACAGAAGGGTTACAGTTACATGAGTAAGGCAATTAGTATATGACTTGTTGTTACCCCTTCCCTTGCTGTTGTCTCACTGTCCCTCCCTCCTTTTTTAAAAGTATTTTTATTTATTGTTATTATAAAGGTTAGGTATAGAGAGGTTACAGTTACATAAGTCAGGTAAAGATACATTTCTTTTTGGACAATGTCACCCCTTCCCTTGTTTGTTCTCTTCCTGTTTGATCTTTATGGTCACAAGAAAATAAGTGAAAATATTTAAGTGAGGTCAAAAGTGTAGATGGAGAAGTTTGTTTCATATCAGAGCCTCTTGGCCAAAAAGGTTGTAGCTATCTTATACATCCTAGCTTCCTTCCTTAAGGATTGAGGGAGACAGTATTTTGGTATATCTGAAACACATTTATATCCTACTGTTTGAGAAGCTATGGTGTAACTGAATAAACTGTCCTCAAAAATCTTTTTTTGGGGAAAGGATAAAATACCAACTGAAAACATACCATTGTGATAGTGAAAAATTGCTAACCTAATAGTCCCTGGGGTTTAAAGGTGAAGTATAGCCAAGGGTGGGCATGCAGGAGAAGGTGAGTGATTCTGATAGGAGCTTGTGTAAAAAAGTGGTTAAATTGATTGTGATAAATGAAGAGAGAATAGGATATCTTGAATATGACATTTACTTAGGGTATGAATTAGATGATTATGTTGGTGATTGGTTGTATTATATAGGAAGATGTAAATGGAATTAGATCTTGTTCATATGACATATAGTTAAAAGGGGAATATAAACTACGTCTTGAAAGTACCCCAGAAAATGGAAATACGTTTTGGTGGGTGATAGTCTAAGCTGGATTAGGATATGGCAATTTGCACTGAAAAATGTTTCCATGGGACTAATTTTAGTAAAATACAGATACTAGTATTTTCTTGTGAGAAGAACAAATACTCATTCCTATAAAATTGTAACCTATTGAAAACACTTTATTGACAGGTACTAGCTATTCTGGTCAACATTTTTGGAGGAATCATGCGATGTGATGTTATTGCACAGGGTATAGTCATGGCAGTAAAAGATTTGGAAATTAAAATACCTGTTGTGGTACGGTTACAAGGTGAGTGTTAAAAGACATCTTGAAGTTGATTTATAATTCTAGGGCGGTCAGCTTTTGAAAATGTAGCTATGTTTTGTCTTATCTTTCTTTTTTATTTTTGCTGATGCTGGGGTTTGTACTCAGGGCCTGGGCTCTGTCCCTGAACCTCTCTCTGCTCAAGGCTAGTACTCTACCACTTGAGCCACAGCGCCACCTCAGGCTTTTTCTGAGTAGCTTGTTGGAGATACAGGTGTCATAGATTTCCTGCCTGGGGCAGCATTGAACCATGATCCTCTCAGCCTCCTGAGTAGTTAGGATTACAGGCATGAGCCACTAGCATTCAACTTCATCTTTCCTTTTCCTTTTCCTTTCCCTTTTCTCCTTTCCCCTTTCCCCTTTTCCCATTCCCCTTTCCTTCCTTCCTTCCTTCCTTCCTTCCTTCCTTCCTTCCTCTCTCTCCCTCCCTCCCTCCTTCCGTGTGCGTGTGTTTGTGCGCGTGCGTGTGTGCGTGTGTGTGTGTGTGTGTGTGTGTTGGTCCTGGGGCATGAACTCGGGGCCTGAGTGCTATCCCTGAGCTTTTTTGCTTAAGGGTAATGCTCTGCCACTTAAACCACATCTCCACTTTGGCTTTTTGGTCATTAATTGGAGATGAGAGTCTCACAGACTTTCCTGCTTGGGCTAGCTTTGAATCACAATCCTCAGATCTCAGTCTCCTGAGTAGCTATTATAGATGTGAACCATCATTGCCTGACACAAATAGCTATGTCTTTTACTTGAAGCGTCATATAAAATGAAATTTTAAAAACTTAGAAGAAAACATAACACTGGGGCAGTAATGTTCAGAGTTTTGCTTGATATAATTTGATACACTTTTTACTTGTGACTTATCTGAAATTCTGACTTGCCTTGAATATGGTAAAGGGAGGTAAAAGTTTTACATTGTAACTTCAGGCTTTTGTAGCATTTTCTTTGCATAGAAGTATGCTAGGTGAGTGAAGTACTCTCCGTTGAAAATTTTAGTAATGGCATATGTTGTGGCAGAAATTTTGAATACATTTGCATTTAAATGCATATTGAAAAGTTCTGTATATTTGTATAATCATTTTCAGGTACACGAGTTGATGATGGTAAGGCATTGATAGCAGATAGTGGACTTAAAATCCTCGCTTGTGATGACTTGGATGAAGCTGCTAAAATGGTAAATGATACTAGTCTCAGGGTAAATTTGTAGTATCTAAAGCATTTTCCAATTCCTACAGTCAAGTGCTTCAGCTACTATAGTGAACTGTTAAAAATATTCATACTTGTTACAAATGGTAAGACAAAACTTGAGATGGATGATTGTGATAAGTGCACAAACTGCTAAAATGGCAAGTGAGCATCTTAGTCTGTATGAACTCAGGGCTTACATTGCTAGGCAGGTGCTCTGCCACTTCAGCCACAACCCCAATCCTTTCTTTGCCTTGTTTTTCTTAAAGGAAAAGAATATTTTTGCCCAGACCTTGGACAATAATCCTTGTACTGTGCCTATCAGTAGCTAGGAGCTCAGGCAGACTCTTATAGTGCCCAGCTGAGATCTTGCTAATAACTCTTTGCTCAGGTTGGTCTCAAAATATATCCTCCCTATCTCCATGTCCTAAGGCATGGGCTACCACATTTGACTTTTTGTTTTTACATTTACAGAAATAATACTCGTAGAGAGTGTTTGGATTTTTTTTTGCTTATACAAGTCATAATAATAATAATATTAAATAGGATGATGTTAGTAACTGTCACCATTTTTTGAATATTGTGCATGTAATAGTTTTGTTTTCAAGGATTTTCTTAATGTAAGTTTGGTTTTTAGATTTCTATATGGATGAGGAGACAGGCTAGATAAGCTAACTTAGTCAAAGTTATATATCAAAACATTAGAATGGCAATTTGAATCAAGGACACCTAACTTCAAACCCTAGTTTTTCCTTTTTTTTCCCTTTCTCCTTCCCTGAGGGGGTCAAATCTGGAGTCTTGCGCATGATAAAGCAAGCATTCTGTCATTGAGCCATTCTGTACCTCCAGCCTCAAACTCCTTTTTTTTTGTAATGATTCTACTGGGAAACAGATGCTAGAATTTGCTTTTAAATGTGTGTAATTTATGTGATATTTTGTGTAGAAGCACAATTGATTCTCAGATTATTGAAGTGCAGTTATCTATATAATCTATCTCTTCTTTAGAAAGTATTCAAATATGGGTTATGAAGAATGTCAGACTTGACTAGTCTTTGAGACTGTCAATTCTTTGTGAGAATACAATGTGATTGATAATATTAGAATAGTTCTGATGTTTTGGAAGGAAAAGATTGTGCGTTAATTTTGCATTATTATATATTTCTGAACTTACCTTTTTATCAATATAGAGTCAAAGATGCTCTTTTCTTTCTTTTCAGGTTGTAAAGCTTTCTGAAATAGTGACCTTAGCTAAGCAAGCCCATGTGGATGTGAAATTTCAGTTGCCAATCTGAACTGATAACCCAGTGGATGATTGACAATGTTACATGTATTATCATCCTTCAAAATACTGTGTTCTGTGTTTTGCTCCTTTTCTTTTTGTGGAGACCATAATTGCCATGTAGGCACACAAACTTTAGAGAGCATTTCGTCTGCATTTAATTTGGCTGTTCAGAATGGACTGTTTGTATAAAGAATATATAATGCAAGTTTCTAGGTTATTTTGTTTCAGTCATCTTTTGGTTCTCCTACCGAATGTCACTTGCGATATGCCTGTTTATTGTTGGATACAAGATTCTCCATTGATGTGAATCCTATAAATAAAATAAATATAAAGATAAAGCTTTATTCTTTAATATTAAAATGTACTATATAATCTAGCTCCTCCAGTGTTAAAACACTGTTTTATATCAGAAGTGTTTTATCTTCAGCACCAAATAAATGCACACTAAATATATCAATCACTGTTTATAAACAGAACTTTCAAACACTCCTCAGAATATTCTTTTAGATATTTCAGTAAGGTAACTTGTTAATTATTAAATCCTTGCAAAACACCGAAAGCTGCAAGTTTTCATGGTTCTGTGGTGTTAAGAAACATCTGCAGGTTTGTATTAAATTCAGATATATTTGCATAGACTTGGTAGACAAAATTAAGAATGTCAATTCAAGTTAATAAAAATTTCAAAATGTGATTTGGATTAATGTTGTTTTTGAGTTCTTTTTTGTGTTTTAAGTAAACAGTAGAAAGTAATGTATTTATTTTTTTATCTAATATATATTTTTTAAATGGTGAAAATACTGTACAGAGGGGTTACAATTACATGGGCAAGATAACGAGTACATTTCTTATCAAGCATTGTAGTCTCCTCCTTTGTTTCCCCTTCCTATCCCTTCCCATCCCCCTTCCCCCTCTCCCACCTAATCCTCCCCCACCCCCACCAAAGTTGTAAAGTTCGTTTTCGACATAACAACTTGTACATCTCATTGTTGCAATGGGTCCACCTGTATCCCTATTTAAACGATTTGCTTTTTCCCTTCCCCTCCACAAATTATACCGACATCAAATACAGTGAAAGCAGGGGTTATACTGTGGGGGAGGGACATACAAAGCAACAAAGAAATAATCTTATAAATGTGTTAGAAACAATAGCATGAAAGAAAAAAACATTTGAATACATATCTTAGGGTTCATTTCCCTAACATCAACTTATCTGACCTTTTCTGCTTGACTTAGACATATACTAGTTATTGCAGAAAGTAATGTATTTATTATTTCAGAAAATAGGTCTTGGGAAAAAATTGTAGATAACATTCTTGGTATGAAAGTACATATCTTAAAGCTACTTTTAGAGAATTTAATACAATTCTACTGCTCATGGGTGTGTCATATAACATATATTAAAAGAAAACATCCTTATTTCCCTACATGCATATATGCTTATACATACATGCATTTTTGTTCAACACATTAAATTGTTGATATGTGACTTAATAATATGGAAAGAGATAGTAACTGAGCAGTAGAAATTTAACCATTCTTGTGAATTTGAGAACTTCCACCTATTTTGGTGTTCCTAAAGTGTAATCCTGTGTGTGTATATATACACTAATATATACTGTGCATAACATCATAATTGTGATTATGAGTATAGAATTTCTACCACTTGAACCCCAGCCCAGAAAATCAACTTTTGCTTAAAAAATTGGACAGTGAGAATGAAAAAGCATTGATCATTTGGAAGCTGGTGTCCAGAGTGAGCCTGAAGAGGAGAAAGCTGGGAAATGAAGGGTGTCTGGATGATACTGGAGGTAAATGCCAGGATGGAACCCAGTGAGTGTTTTTGGGATTAAGACTATGGCAGTCTTTACTGCCTTGTTAGCTAGCTCAGTTCTTCATCTATTCTGACAAAATTTAAGGGGTTTTGCTAGAAATTTTAGCTTTGCCTTTTAAGGTACAAGACCACAGTTAACGTTTTTTTCTTTACTCTTCTTTCTCCCCCAAGAAGTCATGTTTTTGTTTTTCCTTTTGCTCTTACATGTGTGTTCTTACTCTCCAGTCTTTTAATTGCCTTTCATGGTGGTGGGTTGGAGCTCCTGCCATGCATACCACACTGCGCTCACCTGTTCTTCCTTGAAATTATCACTGTGGGTGCAGACAGTAGGAAACTTTCAATAAGCAGCCAGTAAGATGGAAGGGAAGCCTGAATGGGAGGGCTGACCCTTCAGCATTTAGTCAGCTATCTATGGAGTTTGATTGGCCCTCCACATTATCACCTCTTGTTCACTGTTGTAGTCATTTCTTTGGAACGGAGGTTCTTTACATGAAGTAGATTTATAGGGATTATGGACTTTATTTTGCCCCATCTATAACAAGGCATTCATTCACATCCTAACTCCAGCAATTTGTATTCACTTTACCCAAGAAAGAACTTTGCAGAGGCAATTAAAGCTGTAGACCTCAAAACAGAGATTATCTTGGGTTTCTCTGTAGGACCAATCTAACCCTAGTAGCTCAAGAGCAGAGAGAATAGTCCTGTTGGAGGAAGAGATGTGACAAGAGCAATTAGAGAAATTTCAATCATAAGAAGAATTCAGTGCCTTATTGCTGACTCTTGGACATAGGGGACCAGAAGGAGACTATCAGTATATAAAGCTAGTGGAGCAAGGAAATGGGGTCCTACAGTTATGAAGATCTGGGTCTTGCCAACCATCTGGATATGTTTGTATTGCTGGAATTTGGTAGGTGTTCAAGGAGATCTCTAAAAGGAAAGGGTCAGGGAGTCTTAACTTGATGAGGTTCTCTGATTACAGAAAAGAATTTTTGATATTTAGGGTAAGAACCTGACAGATTTATTCAGCAGGTAGAACAAAAGGTACAGATGCACCACATTAAATCTGGTAAGCTGATTATTTCTAGGTGGTTAAAGAAAATGGTGTTTGTATACTTCTAATCAGGTTATATATTAATACAATATGTATTAATATATATTTCTATACATATTAATATATATATTTCTGCTCTCATGCTCATCCTCATCTATCGTGTCATTTGGGAGCAGATTGTTCTCAGCCTCCTGAGGAGAGTATAATCGGCTAACCTCTTGATTTTAGTTTTGTAATACTCTTAAGAGAATCCAGCCAAGCCCATTAAGATTGCCTCACACATCTGTGAGAATAAATTTGTGTGGTCTTAAGCTGCAAAGTTGTTGACAATTACAAATCGTAGCAGGGATGTCTCATCATATCCAACTCTTCTCAAACTGGGAGAAGTAATTTTTTTAAAAGTTCACATCAGTTTTCTTTAAAGGAACTTCAAAAAAGTCAATGTGTCATGAGCTGATTTTTTTTTTTACAATAAAAGCACTTAGGCATACAATTATTAAAACACCAACTATTATACTCCAATTTTTATTTTTATAGGTCTAAACTTGTTCTTTCAAATGGCTGTATGCTTCCAAATCTTATTCTGAAATATGTTTTTCTCTTGCAGATTTGTGAATGGTTTGTGGATCAGCTTCAATTCACAGATCACATTTTGGGTAGGACGGAGGAAAGCTCCATCACATCCAGTTTGTGAGGAGGAAAACACAAAGAACTCAAAGTAGGCTGTAAACAAATACCTAGGGGATAAGAGGCTCAGCATTGGGTAGTTTGTACTTAGTGATATCCTGGTCCTCATTTTGCAAGACTGTGAAGCAATTGCCAATAATCAAAGAAGCCACACTACTGTTGTATGAGTCTTGTCACTGCCAATAAAGGTAACAGAAATCAATAAGCTTAGCAACTTGGAGGATACATTGAAAGGGTCAGGGAGGCCTAAACTTCCTGGCCTGGTTTGTTGCTAATCAAATGCTGACATTCATTAGTATCTTTTCTAGGACTTGAAACCACTAGTTGAGACCCAGTAGTCAAGCAATTGAGTAGAGGGATGAGTTTGTAAGAAGGAATCTGAAGAAAAGCTGTAGTTATTCCTAAAATTAGTTCCAATACAACAAAGCTCTGTTTTTCATAGTGTATGATGAAATATGCAACATTTTAGAACAGGAGACTTTGTTTTACTAAAAACGATGTATACTGATTCTAAGAATAAACCCTCTCCCATCCAAGTACTAACCAGGCCCGACCCTGCTTAGCTTCCGAGATCAGACGAGATTGGGCGCGTTCAGGGTGGTATGGCCGGAGACAGAATAAACCCTCTGAACTAGAAATACACACAAAATATAAAAGCAAATAAAAATTAGCTGCCATGACAAAACCCAGAAATAACTATAAAAAATAACTATAAATGTTCTTGTGGGCTTGACAATGTGTAAATGTATGCACAGATGTTTGAATGCACTTATATTAATAGAATCAGACACAATGCCATATAATTTCAAGATAAAATCGACTTTCTTATATAGCATGAAATATAGGTCTTTAATTGCTGTATATTTGAGGATGTGTATCAAAACCTAGGATTTGCATTACTGACCTTTGGTTTCAAAGTAACTTGTTCTTATGTCTTTCAGCACTTGTGTTAATTTCTTCTTATGATAAAATTCTGTCAGTGAAATGGATTAGTTGTGTAAAAGCATAACTATACTTAACATTTTCATGGCAGTTGCTGAAAGTCTTGATGGTACTGTGTATAACACTTTTTGTTCCATGCCTAATTACAGTAGGCAAAACATGTTCTTACTATTTAGTATTGATGAAGTTTTGGTCTAAATACTGGCATTTGTAGAAGAGTGAGAGTGTGTGTGTGTGTGTGTGTGTGTGTGTGTGTGTGTGTGTGTGTGTGTTCATGTTGACTTTTCCTACTGACCATTCTTACTAATATTAAGAACTTCTTGTATATCTTAGAATAAGCATTTGTGTATCTTGTATTAAATATGTGCTAGCCAGCATTTTGTTGTGACAAAATACTTGTAAGAAGGAACTTAAAGAAGAAAAGGTTTGCTTTGACTCAGAATTTCAGACGTTTTAGTCCGTGGTCGCTTGGCTCCCTTTCCCTGTGCATGGTGAAGTCCATCATAGTAGAATGCTGTAGTGGTGGGAAACTGCTTACTTCATGGCCAGGAAGCAGAGGAAGGGCTGGGGCAAGATACACCCTTCTAGGTCCTGCCTCCAGTAACAGCTTCCTTCACCTAGTTCCCAACATCTCTCAATGGATTAATTAATTAAGGCTAAAGCTCTTAGAATCCAAGTGGTTCCCAATAGCTCACTAGTTACCAATCAACCTGTTAACATGTTATCCTTCAACATATTTCCTCATATGTCAGTTTTGTTAAAAATCAAATCCATTAGCCTTTGCGGCTTTCAGTCTTCACAACATACTTTAAAATGCTTTATTGGTTTTGACATGAAGTATAAATATATATAGCCCCCCAAAAGCCAGCTTCCCAAATACCAATTACTTAAAATTTCATCTAGTCACTAGCTTTGTCATCTTTATGCTACTAACTTCTTGTATGTTTTTGAGAGTATCTACAACTTACATTTATAGGGAAACTTTTTTGAGATAGGGTCTCACCATGCCCAGTCAGGCCTTGGGCTGTTATGTATCCTATACCAGTCTCAGACTCAAGATCCTCCTACCTTAGATGCCAGAGGGCTGGATTACTGTTGTCAGTGCCATATTCACTTTACAGGGATACTTCATTAATTCTCATTTAGGAAGTGGGAAATGATCTATTGAGACAATGACAGA